TGTTCAGGATTAAAAGACTGCTGCCTTTTATTGGCAGTAGTTGTTCTTTATACCCATTTTATTACGCACGGTTTGTTTACCACAGCAAAGAACCTGTATTCTGCTGTGTAATAAACATGAATGCAAATAGATCCAGCCCAAGCCACAGATCTTGTTATGTGCCAGTTAGAGTAATTTAGTGGAGCTTATTTTTGGAGGTGGGGCAGAAGGGATGTTCTTGGGTGCAGTAGAATCGTGGGAAGTAAATGTTTGCCTGGCTTGTCCAAAGTAAAATTGATAGAGATAAAAAAGAGGAGTTACTTGTGTTTTCCTCTTGGTTGAGTTTTCAATTTATGTGCTATCCTTTTCTACAAGTTGAAAGAATCAGTTGAATTGGACTTTGCCCACATTGCTGCAGAGCAGTAGTTTGCTTTCCATAGTAGTGCCACTAGAGATTTTTAAAAATGCAAGGTAGTGGGTGGATGTGTAAACAAGGAGCAGGCTTTTTCCTTTATACAAATGGCTGAATTCTCCTCTCAAACTGTGTTTAGAAGGGAGTGTGGAGATAAACCAAGGATTAGCCAGAGTATTTTGGTCAGTGGTCTCCTTTTTCTTCATCTGGAATATTTCTAAAGATGTACACTGGTGTTTAGTGTTTCTGTATTAAAAATCGTATATATGTGGTATTTAAAAGGATGACCTATGTGAAACCTGTTTTCTTTAGAACCTAGCTATTCAACAGCTTCTAACCATCCATATCTCTTTACAGATTAGCAATCTGTGTTTTGCTTTTGACTCTTTCTGAGGCATGGGACTTCTCTTACAGTCCCTGGCTCTCCTTGTCCTGTATTTCTGTTGCATTGGATTCCGAGTATCTTGTCTCCCATTTCCTCTGTGTCAGCTGCTTGTCTGGTAACAAGAGAGTGGGATTCTCTGTTTCATCATACAGCAATTGAGAAAAAGTTGACTTTCTGGGCTTTCTTAAAGATTGTGTAATGTCCAGTGATATGTTGAGTCATTATCAGGGTATTTGTGGAGAAGACTGAGGAAGTGATGAAAAGGATGCCAAAGATGATACTTTCTCTGAAATAAGAGGAAATAGACTAGTATTTATAGCGAATAATAGGACTGTCTTCTGTCTCATGCTTTCTGTCTCTGCATGTGATGGTTCCTTCTGTGACTGGAACCACATTCAGGTGGGATTTTCAGCAGCTGTTTTTACTGGTGACTTAGTCCTAGAGTAAGTCTTTCTGGGTGGATGCCTGTTCTGTTCCAGTGGGTGAGTATGGATCCTGGTGATTCTTCCAAGTGCGTTTGCAGGGAGACTGTCTTTTGAGTTTTTTGGCTGTTCTTGTCTCTGCTTCCCTTGTATCACTCGAAGAGCTGGAATGAGTATGGTAGGTGTTTTGCACTGGCCTTAGAGGCATTTAAGGCAGGTTGGCTACAGTTCACTCAGCAGGTGAGTATACAGCTTCCTAATCTAGTTTTGAAGATTCTTGGCAGAGATTGACTCATAAGCACCCAGAAGAAGGGTCTTTGGCTATACTATGCTGTCATCTTCAGGCCATTATCATTTTAAAAAGAAAATAAAATGTTTCAGTACAGAATAAAATAGTCTTGATTAAACTTCAGAAACCTGTTTTAATAGTTTGAGCCTAGCCTACACAGAGAGGAGTAAAAGGAGGTTGCCACATACCATTTAAGAACATCATGTTTGTCTGTTGCATGTAGCTGTTACAAGGTTGCACAAAATATTTATTGTAAGGGAGTCCCAAAATTCTTCATCTGTGCTATAGTAGGTCTGTGTATGTTCTCACAGTGTGTCAGAGTTCTGTTATTGCCCTGCTCTTACTTCACCAGAGGCAAGGGTCAGCCTGAAATTTGACATTGTTGTAGCTTCCTGCAGGAAACAGTGAAAATACTGCTTGCTTTTGACAGCCACAATGGAGAAAATGGACAGTGTAGCTGTTGATAGGCTTGAAACTTTGCCAGGCGGATGCCTGAGTTCTCTTCTCCTCTAATGCATTTGTCTGTGCCTTCCCCTCTTCCAGGTCTAGATACTGTAGCAACAGTTTTAGCTGTTTCTGGACAGCACTGATCTCAGTGTTAAGCCATTTTGCATTATCTGCATGCCCTTTCAGTAGTGCTCGACTATGATTTATGGGGTATTCATTTTGCTGCCTGGTTTTCTAAAGTTCCTTCTCCTTTGTACCTGTTAGAAAAGTTGAGGCCAGGGGATACTTCTTCTTAGTTAAAGGAAGAGCTGTAACCAGAGGCAGAGCTTCTCAACTGACAGTGTCTGTTAAATTCACTCATACCTGTCAGCCCTCAAGATGCTGCAGTTTGCACTTTTGGAGGCTGTGGATGAAAATATGTCTCTGCTGTTTGCTCTCCGTTATTACTTCGTGTAGTTACTGCAGCATTAGTGGTTTTGCCTGCTACTAAAACTGCAGCTGCGTTCCCAAACTACAACAGCATGGCAAAGATTAAGGCAAATCTATCCCTGTTTCTACAGTTAGACCTACAGTTCAGATACAGAAAGCTCTCAAGAGCTGACAGGCTCGTGGCAAATAGAAATTGAAAGAAGGCTGTCACCCTCTGGAGCTTAGTGGCAATGTGATAGTGCGTTTCTTCCCAGTTTGTCAGTTCACCTTAGTGTTGGTGACCCAGGCGCAACTCGGAGGAGATGCCTCAGGGGAAGAAAATAATCACAGCCAGCGATCTTACAGGCAGTTTCAAGAAAGACATACGACATTGCAGTTTTAGCTTCTCAGATGATTTATTCTTTTTCTCTGTAGTAAGATGAATAAACTCTTCCTGAATTAATCTGGGTGACACTTCCTCCTTTTGTTTTCCGTAGATCTTTCAACTTCAGATCTGGAACAAAGCTCAGTCTTCCAAGTGATACTCTTTGGACTAGCTTTTAATCTGTACTGCTCCTGTGCTGGTATATTTAGAAGTATGACACCAAGAATAAAAAAAATGAATACAGCCTGAATTATGAGAATGAGTGCAAGCCTGTTAGGAACCTTTGTAATGAATGTCAGTTTACAAGAGGAGAAAGATGGTGAGTGATATTAGTCAGGGAACACCTAATCCATTTTAAAGCTTTACTTGTTCTTCTGTGATGAGCAGGAAGACAGATAAACACAGGGACTTGTGTTCCTGGTGCTGGACCTGAACTAGCTAAAGATTGATATAAGTGCTTAGTAAAGTCTAAACTTAGTGAAACACTTACTGAAAGTGGTGCCTATTGACTATTTTAGTGGACCTCTTATGATGGAGAAGAGCACAGATCTTAATTTATTGTGTGGTAATGGGTGAAGAACAGTCTTAATCCCATGGTAGTATAAAATTGTGGAAAATGGGAGCTGTGCCTTGTTTTAATAAAGCTTTTAACAGTGGGTTGCCAAAGGAAAAGAGAAACTAATTTGAAACTCAAAGTCTGTGTAACTGGCTTGGATGAGCTGTGTTATAGTCAGATAAAGGCAGTGAGGAAGCCTAACCCTGCCCAACCCTATAATTAGCTAATCAGTGAAGTAGGGGACAATCAAATTAAGGTAAATGCAGATGTAACGAACATTAATACTCTAAATATGTTGCAGTATGTGTCACTTAGCTATGATTACAGTTGTTTCAAACACTCCTTTTTGTTTAAAGTGACCAGATAAATCTTTGAAAATTACTTAATTTTAAGTGGCTACAGGGTGAATAATAACATGAAGTTTGAACCAGAGAGATGATCTGGCTTTTGAGAACAAGAAAAATAGTCAACTGACTGACTGAGACTAGTTGAGTATCAAGAACAAATCTTTTCTCTGGATTCCAGGGGCTTTGGCCTTCGTGCCAACATAAATATGGGTGTCTCTCTAATAGCAGAATTGCATTGGATTAGTTTGTGCTTTTTGGAAATCTATTATATGAAATACATAGTTCTCTTTTATACTTCCTTGTTTTAAGAAAATAAGGAGTTAAATGTTGAACTGGGTGCTCCTTTTTCCTCTGGGTGTTTTGAAGAGAACAGAGGTCTCCTCTTTCTAAAAAAAAAATAAAAAAATAATAATTCTCATGTTTGTAAGTTAGTCAGACCCAGAGTGCTCTAAAAGCTGAGCTGCATTCACTAAAACACTTTGGATGGCTGTGCAGGCCTGAACAGAAAGTTGTAGCTACGTAGCATTAATTTTGGCTGCTTTTAGGCAGTGCTGAAGTTCCTGTTGTTTGCAGTGGGGTCCAGTAAACAACTGGCTTGTGCTCAAGACAGGTGTGGAGAATACCGTCCCTCAGTGAGTGAAGAGGCATCTGGTTAATACTAAGCTCTCTGCCTTTTTCATGGCTTTATCCTCTCTCTTGTCTTGTGCCCTCCTCAATTTCTGCAAGGAAGCTAACTCTTTTACTGAAGGGAATGGATGGCCTCAGTGTTCTGCTAAACACAAACTTTGACAAGTGTAGGGGAAGAAGGGGCAGAGAAGGCAAATATTCAGACAGACACGATGCTACCTGTATCCCTCTCTAAAATTCACATGAAAATTAATTTTTCTCTCATGTTGTCTTTCATCTCTAGTGTGATAATTAAATACACTTTGCATGTTCTGACAAATCTGAAATGCCCTCTGGTACAGACTCGTACAGTTGAAAACCTTTGGTTTTTAAATAAACTGTTCTGAATGTACATGTTAGTGACTTTTCTCAGATGTCTGATACCAAGTTGTCATCTTTAATAATTTCTCTGTGCTCTATCTTTGTTCTTTCAAAGTATTGTTTGTAGCAGGCCCAATTTGTTTCCAGTATGTCTGCATAGCTCAGAGATTTTTTGGGTGCGCTTGTGTCCTTAGAGAACGTGAGTGGTTTCAGTGAAACAACACAGGACCACAAGCATGAAAAAGTTTGAAAAATATTAATAATTATGGCTGTATATGTGCATAGTAAAGTGCATTTCCTGCCAGGAAAAGTTGCTGTTACACAGGCTTTAACAGTGTGAATTAAGAGTTCCCATACTTAATTTTCCTTTTATTTTTAACTTTATTAAGATTACATGATGGAATTCACCTTCTCTCAAGAAAAGCTGCGTATCTTGGACCAGTACCGTTGAAGATACCTTCCAATTGCAACTCCCGAAGCAGGGTCCTCTAACAAATTTGTCAAAAGAACACATACAATGGATCTCAAAGAAAGCTGCCCAAGTGTTAGCATTCCCAGCTCTGATGAACACAGAGAGAAGAAAAAAAGATTTACTGTAAGTATGTAAGAATGTGAGCACTGTGGGCAAATACAGAGGCTGTTAGTGCCTAGAAGTGCTACTTTTTTTTTTTTTTATTTTTACTAGTAAGCTTGGTATTATTTTCAACAGGTTTATGGAAATGTGTTCACTTGCGCTTGTGGGTACTGGTCATAGTCCAGTGTGAGAAGTTGTGAACATTTTACTGTGTTTAATTGTGTTGCTTTCTGCAAAAATAATTTGGCTTTACAAATTTCTGGTATTTTTACCCCCCAAATGGCAGCATTTTCTCATATAAAATACATATGTCCAAATGCGGGGATAACATTTTGGTACCAAATCAGATTAAGATTTGGCATTCTGTATGATTTTTCAGGAAAACATTTCTTTTGTAAAGAAGTGACTTGTGGTTTTGGTGGGGTTTTTATTTATCTTTTTAATGGCCATTTTTTTCATCGATATTCTATTATACATTTATAATTTTTTGTGTTAAAAAAAAAAAAAATTGAAATACCTTTTTTCTGTCTTCCTTCCTTCCTGTTTTCTGATTCTAATGGCTATGAGTTTTTTCCTATCCTGTTCCCATTTCCACTCCTAGTCGTTCTCCTCCCTCTTCCTTTTTTGGCCTCCCAGTTTGACTTGCTTTCTGGAAGTAAAGTCTCCCCATTCTGTGGGGAAACTTTGCATTGCATACAAAAAAAATAAAAGTAGTATGATACGGATTTTTGGTTAGCTTACATGTATGTGAGGATATAATGACAGCATCATAATACTTCCTTTAAAAAAATCAAACTATTTCATTGCTCTTGTGCAACTTCCTCTATTTTTTTTTTTTTTTTTAATGACTTAGTCACCCTTCAGATGTGGAATGCAAACACCCTTAGACTGAATTGCTGTCTGAAGAATACAATAAACCAAAGATTTATTTTGAGTTATGTATCTGTCTGTCTTTCCTCTTCATCTCCTTTCCTCAGAGAATAATGCTATTTGATTCTACAAGTGTATTCAAGATGTAATTTGGGGAAGGAGCATGCTGGTAAAGGGAACAAGTGAAAAGAGAACTTTACTAATACTTTAAACTGCATGTGAAACTCAAAAGAGCAGGAAAAACCTCATGAAAGTCTAAACTTGAGCAAAGCAGATTTGTTTTATTGCATCGGTGCTGGCAGTCCTGCTGTTAAAATGTGCCAGTGTGGTACGTTTGTGGTGCATACTGGCGTTGTGATTTCCAGGCCATTTTGGCTAAAGATCTGTGTGACAACATTAGCAACTTAAAGGCGCTTTCTTTGGGTGTGCCCTTGAGAAAGCTGTACAGGCAAGAGTAAAAAACGTCAGAAGTTGGGATTTAAGGCAGGGGGGGAGGGAATCCAACCCAGCCTGCACTGTGTGGAGGTACACTTTGTTTTGGTGGCTTCTGCTTCCTGCATCAGTTAGCAGCTTGACAAGAACTGCTTTTCACAACCAAGATTTTGAGTATTATTGCATATATTTTAGGATTTGATAGCAGAAGTGAGGGTCATACTAAACTTCCTGGTAGGACCTGTGAATTCCAGCATGTGTCTGTCAGTGCTTTTACTGTGTCTCCTGTTTTGTAGCTTTGTATACCAAATTCTCCGTAGATATCGTGTGTTCTTACCGTTCAGTGCTTCCATAACTGTTGAACTTGCAGCTTCTACTTGGTTGGATATGCAAGTGCTTTGGTGGTGGTGTGAACTGAATGACCTTGTATGGGGTATGTTTTTAATGCTGTTTCATGTAAAAAATTTTGACTGTGTCATTGTTCTACAGCTAACTACTCCAAGAACAAAACTGTTTTAATTCTGAGGTTGACAAGGAGGTGAATACCATCTTGTATTTGAAGTTATGCTTGCCCGGGCACTTTGCAGTCTGTGCGTTTTGCCCTGCTAATTTAAGAAGTTGTCCATTTCCTGCTGCTTAAGCTTGTTCGCGTTGACCTGCCATGCAGTCATGAGGAGTGAAGATGATGTGTGTTTGAGCATTATTTGCAGGACTTGATTGTTGTATAAGGTACCTAGTCCATGAGGACAGCACTTAAGTCTTTGCAGCTGAAGCTTTTGCTGTTTTCAGTCTAGGGAGGCTCTAGAAGGTGTGTAGCTAGGTTTTATGCTGATACTGAAAGCTAGTTTTCTAAGTAGAGCCTTATCACTATCCAACTGGATGCTTTTATCCAGCCTCCTGTGTTGCCCAGGGAAGACTGCGAGCAGCTGATGTGAGCAGTTAACATAGCATGGGTGCAGGTCTCAAGCTAAGGAACTGATGGTGATGGCTGCCACTTCCACTGAGGGAGTTAAAGAGAGGTGTGAGCTGCTGTTGCAGGACAGAAGGGACACCGGGGCATTGGTCCAGGTTTCTACGTCAGGAATTAGCAGCATTCCGCACTCATTTCCTTTGTGTGCCCAACCTCTCCCCTGAAGGAACAGCCAAGCTCCTTCAAGCACAAGGAGGTGGAGAAGGGAGGTCAGCTAGTTGCACAAGAGACAGGAGAAGCCTGCTGGACACTCAGCTGTCAACCAGATTTAGGAAGCCAGGGACTGACAATCTGTCTAGTTACTGGAGTCCTCTGCTGCCGTGGGATTTGAATGGCCAGAACTGTGCAGCGGGTTCCCACTATGTCTGCCTTGGTCCCAGTGCTGTGTAGGAGGTAACCTGTGCTGTGTTTCAGCCACAGCAGCATTTTCCTCTCCTTGAACAATTGTCATCTGCCAGGATCCCGACTATAATGTATATTCAGGATGACAGCTGTAAGAAATATATAGCTCAAACAGTATGTTTACAAAATACATTTAACAGCCTGCACTTATTTCCACTACAGGATTAAACCTGGGAGGTTTTACTGAACTTTACTGTTGGCAATAACTTTATCTTTGTTACTACAGGTTTACAAAGTGTTGGTCTCGGTTGGCAGAAATGAATGGTTTGTCTTCAGACGGTATGCAGAGTTCGATAAACTCTACAACACGGTAAGTAAAAGGCGAGCTATGAAATCATGCCAGAATAGCACGGAGTAACACTTGCCTGCAGTGTTATGGTTTGAGTCAATATTCAATAACTGTAGGAGCCTGTTTAAAGAAAAATGACAAGATGGGGTTTTTAAACTTCAGTTTGTTTGAATTTTAAACTGAAAATCAACCCATTTGTCTTTTAGTTGTTGATTGAGTTCCTAGTGTGGTGAGAGAAACTTCCAATTTACTGATTGTCATAATATCTGAAATGTACATTTATTTGTGATGGTAAAAATCACTGCGAAACTTAAAACATCTAGATAGTTAAATTTCTTTTAAAATAAGTGTTTTACTTTGAAGTACTGAAAGCAAATCCTTTTTTCTTAATATAAACTTTCCGGTAAGTCAGTCATGGCAATTGCTACCTGCAGTTTCATAGCCAAATTTTTTGAGAGTGGGCCAGATAAAATAGGCTTCCTGAGCAACTAAGTATGGATTTCTAGGGTTCATTCCTAGAAGATGATTTGGCCCTCTTGCATAGTGAGCAAGCAAGGCAAATACTTGCTCAGATGTGCAGTCTGTTTTATGTGTCCTTTGGCCATACTTATCTCCATTTCTCCGTGTTTAAAGCCCAGAGTTTTTGCTTTAACAAAAGAATTAAAATTCCTCTGTGGTTCTCTCTGTGGCAAGAAAAGGTTACGAGCTGTTTCTCTGTGCCTCCATCTCCCTTCCATTGCCCCTATGGGAAGCAGTCAGGCTTTTCTCCCTTCTGCCTCGCTGTACATGGATTTATTTATATGTGACAGTGGTATACAAATGCAGGCAGTGAGTTTGGAGCTTTCTTAAAAGGGCTGAGCTAAAGTCAGCCTGGATGCACAATGCTGTGCTTTGCCTGCATCTTGGGATGGACTTGATGTGAAAACAAAGTATCCTTTTTTGATACCTGCAGAGTGAGTGTTGGTGATCGATCCTGTTCCCTTGCCACATGCTATTCAGATTAGCATTGCTCTGCTGAAGTTTGTTCAGCACTGGTCTTTCTAATGTGTGTAGAGGTGGAGGTCCTGGGGAACCATAACCAGGAGGACGTTTAGTCCAGTTCCTGTTCAGTGTAATTCATATAGTGCAGTACCTGAAAAAGAACGTGTGTCACTAACTGGAAGAGATACTGGTGTTTCTAAGGAAAGAAGAATTGTCAGCTACTGTATTAGGAAACTGCTTCCTTCAAAAGGATGAGAATAAGATTCCTCTTCCTGAAACACTTGAAGGTGAAGCAAATGTAACCAAGACTTGGCTCATGTGAGGGGTTTTTTTGATAAATTCAGTGCTGTTGTATATGATCTTCTGTCTGTCAAGTGTAGAATATGATCAAATTATCAAATGTGGTATCATAAAATAGACTTCATCTGTTTACAGTTTGGACTTAGGGGTAGACAGCCTGTGGTTTCTGAAGCTTTAAGAATGTTGTTTGGGCAAAACTCAGAGGCCTGTATCTTCAACCCATCTTAAACCTCATGCATACATCCCTATGTAAGCAGGCAAGAAAAAAACAAACCCAAGAGAGATTTTGGTGTAGGAAGGAAGTGAAGAGGAGAATAAAGTCAACACTGAAATTCTAGCCTACTTTTTAAATCTGAGGCAAGTGGAAAATCATTCTGCCAATATTGCCACAAGATGGCTGCAATAGTCCATAGCTTTTCAAAGTGCGATAGCCTTTGAATTTATAAGGGTGTAACTGGTGCAACCAAGCTGAGTACATGTTGTTTTGGGTTTGTTGGGTGGTTTTTTTGTTCCCTAAGTGTGTGAGTAGAGAAGATGGCAGAGAGGAGCAGAATTACTAACAGTCAGATGTTCAAACTGTTTGTCAGAAAGCAAACAAAATGCAATTATTTCTAGGTACTTTGATATCCGAGCACAATCCAATTGTATATGTTTTGTTTTCAGCTAAAGAAGCAATTTCCCACTATGAACCTGAAGATCCCAGCTAAAAGAATATTTGGAGATAATTTTGATCCTGGTAAGTTGTCACCTCATTACTCATTTTGTCAGTTTCTTTGTATGAAAATTGATCTGTTCCAGCCTACAAGAAGCTATCTTAGATGAGTTTTACACCACTCCTCAAAACAATGACTAAATCAAAGTTTAGTCATGCTTCAGACAAGAACAGGAACTAGCGTAGGTAGGTATTCTACCTTGTGATCTTGAACAAAATTGTTGCTTAGTGGCCCAGTGCCTCTCTTGTTCTGAAAGCTATAGCTCTTCCCAACCCTCCCGTATTCAGGATTGTGAGAGAATCTGGACTGTCAGGTATAATCTCTCTTCTGTCAAACCAAAAGCCAAAACCCAGACTCTTACGTGAATTTTTTTTTTCTCCTCTGAAAAATTAAATAATGTCTTCTGTCAAACCAAAAACCAAAACCCAGACTCTTACATGAATTTTTTTTTTTTTTCTCCTCTGAAAAATTAAATAACTATTTTCTTGTACAGGTTAGATGAAAATGAACCTCTTCCTCTTGTTCCACTTACAGAAGCCTGTCTGATACGAACATAATGTGATTCAGTGAGCAGTGATAGGTCCCAATTAAGCTTGCTCTGTCCACATCAAAATACTAATGAAAAATCACTTGTAAAGTACATTGAATTAACTGAGGTGGCACCACTGATGAACAAATAAAAAGGCAAATAGGAGCCCAGGCCTTTGCTCTGTGTTTTTATACCCTTCACTCAGGCCATTTTTACTTAAGGGTTTTCCTGATGGTCACTGGGAACCTCCCACCTTCCTCTGGCTTGCTAATGTGACCAGATTGTTTAGTTTCAGCCCCTTCTGCACCTGTTACAATTGTGTCATTTTCTCCTTTGCTGAAGAACAAATGGATCCAAAGATGTTGAACTTCTTGGGATGTATTGTTTGGGGTTTTTGAGAGTTATTTCGAACAAATTAATTTTTGGCAGTGAGAGTTAATCATCTAGACCTGACATGAAACTCCCTTTTGTTTTTTATTAAAATAATCAAATGCAAGTATCCAGGCTCTGATGTCCTCTTCTGATGAAGATGTAAATGATTGCCAAAAGTTCTACATGTATTATGTCTACAGGGACTTCTTGTTTTGGTTTGGTTTCTTTCCTTTTCTCTGACTGTGGAGTTTTCAGAGCTGGCTGAAGACCTAGTAATGTGATACAGTCTGATCTGCTGTAGAGCCAAGTGTACAAGTGGATTTCTGGGAGTCAGGAAACTGGATTTTAAATGGCGGGGGGAAACAACTCTAAAACTTTATTAAAACTCTATATGTAAAACAAAGTCCCCAGACTTGTGTTAAATTTCCGTGAACTGTCCTGAAATCCTTGAAGCGTGCAAAACTGAAGTAGTTCGCAAGGTGCTTCTTGCTGGGGGCAGGGCGCAGATGGAGCCGTGATGCTCATTTAAATAATGCTTTATCTTAACACTGGTTTATTGAAGCTTTGGTGTAATGTTTCTGCTGGCCTCTGAAATAAGTCACATACTTTACAAATGGTGAAAAGGTATTTTACTTCTGTTAATCCATGCGTGGGTATGCAGCGTTGTACTGTTGCATTGGGGTCATAAGTGCAGTAGAGTGAAACTTCTGTATCCCTTTTACTGAATTCTACCAGAAAAATACTGTCATAACGTACGTTATCATCTAAACACTCCAGTTTTATTGTCACTTAAGTTATTTCAAAATTAATCTTGTTTTAACTTCAAAAATGAAGCAGAGGGAAATCATAGAAACCAGTCAGAATTACAGAACTAGAAAATTACAGAATACATTTGAGCTCATGTGATGCAGGTGTTTTATCGTCAACAACATGGATAGCTGTGTAGGCTTAGCGTGGCTGATTGCGTTGTACATCCACCGTACTGAAACTGCTGATGTTGGTGACTCCTGTAACATCTTTATGCAGGTTTACCTTCCTGTTTGATGTCAATAGTTTGAGATTACTAAATACCCTAATGGGGGCTTAGGGATTACATCCCTGAAACAATATGAACATTTTTCTTAACATTTGAAATACAGCTTTTAATTGAAATTTAATTTTAATTTAAAATTTTAATAGTTGTCAGTAATCTATATCTGACAGAAATCATTATTGGAACACCTTCAAAGTTAATACACAAGTTAAATATTCTTTTTCCATACAAATTATTGTTGATATGAGTAATGAAAGACAAGATTATTCTGTTTTATGCTTTATTTAATGTTAGAGCTCTTTTTCTGTTTCAAGTCACTTGTGTATCTTTCAGAATCACTAAAGAAAAGTTACGTGTTTTAAGCTTTGGATGAGGGTGGAGATTCTGAAGTGGGGTGTTTTGGTTTTGGTTTTTTTTACATTAGAGTTGATGTCCAAAACAGAAAATAAAGTATTTTGTTTAGTTATCTTTAGTGGTTACATCTGAGTGCCTGCTGGCCGGATGAATTGTGCAACTTTCCCACTGCCATACGTATATTGCAGAAATATGCTGCTTGGTGGGACTGTTCATGAAAACTTGTGCAACTGATGTCAGGTTTTGCCTATGGCTTTTTTCTGAGTGGAATCAGGTCCTGAGGGGCTTCGTTGCACAGGTTGGCCTACTGTGGTTGCACGCTGTTCTTGAAGCGCTTCAGTGCGCGCTTAATCCACCCGGCTTTCTGTATTTTCGGGTAGTGTGGTAAAGAAAGTGAAATTTGTTTTCTCAGCTCACTTTAATGTTTTAAGCTTGTGATTTTCATACACAGAACCAGTTGTGAACCAATATCTTTTTAACTGCTGTTCAAGTCCTAAAAAAACTAAATTTGAAAATAAGTCTTTTTCACAAGCTGACTGATCATTCTGATAAATCCACCTTTTTTTTTTTTCAGATTTCATTAAACAGAGAAGAGCAGGACTGAATGAATTCATTCAGAATTTAGTTAGACAGCCAGAGCTATGCAACCAGTAAGTAGTTTCATTTCTATTTTATAAGGACTAATTAAGACATGAGATACCAAACATAAAACTGCAAATTAAGTAATTTTAACCAGAAAATGTATTCTGCCTGTTTAGTGCTCTTAAGTATGTTAAATAAATTTTAATATGGCCATTCATTCCTTCAGGAAAGATCTACAGATTGATGAACAGTATAAAGATGTCTTTTTTTTTCTGGAAACTGATCTACAAATAAACTTGCAGGCAATTAACTGATTTTAGTTCAAGAAGTGCAGATTCCAGCGTAAACTCTGTTGTAAGACAGGTGTTTGCTTTGCTGATAGCTTTACTGTTTGAAAACTCTGCTGTCACTTGCTACTACGTTGTCTTTCTGGGAGTAAGTCACTGCCTGCTTCCTTGTCTTAGAGAAGTTCATGTATCTCCTCCCGAACTTGTTGTAAGCCTGTTAGCAGACTAGCTTCATCAACTTGCTTAGGTGGCTTGGGATAACCAAGCTGACCTGCCTAAAGCAAATGAAAAAGCGTGCACATAAACTCATCTGTCAGAACGGCAGGTATGTTAGCCTCCATCAGTGGGACGGCGATGAATGAGAGATGGTGATGTGCTAGAGTCAGCTCCAGTAAATCTGGAGGATAGAGCTTCTGTATGTGAACCAGTCTGGGGTTAAAATGTATTTTTCTTTCAGTTTAAATCTATACCTAATCAGTTTAAACTAAATCCATTCTATGTTACTTGAACTAGTAAAATGGTAAAGCTCTGTTTGGCTTCAGTGTTGAGTAAATGTCTTCAATACACGTTTTGTTTAATTAACCTATCTGTACAACCTCTGAAACTGACAGTTTCCCACAGGAAAAAAAATCTCTAACAGAATATTGCTGAAGTTTGCAGTGTGCAGTCAGATTTTTTTTTTTTCCTCTCCCAACAAATGAACTATTTCATGTCCTATTGACCTGAAATATGTGCTTCCTTTCTTTTTTGGAAAAAAATAGTGTTTTATGTATACTTCCTTGTGATAAGTGGAAAAAAATTCTTTACGGTGGAATAGTTTTCCATGAGAACAGATACTGTGAGGTTTGTGGTCGTAGTTGTGTTCTTCTTTGGGAGAGAATAGAAAGCACTTTAACATAACTAATTATTGAAAGCTAATCTGTTTTGTTACATTAGGGAAGGACACTGGTTTTATTTAGCATAGTCCCCTCCCCTGTTTCGTTGTCAGTATGTCCATGTACAAAATATTTTCTTTCAAAACGTACTGTATTTTTTTCTCCAAAGGTAAAATGATACTTTTCTTTTTTTTTTATGCACATCACAAAATTGTGTGCATTAAAAAAAAAAAGCCAAACCTCAAATCCACTTAAATCCTTCTTAAATTTTTGTGAGCTTTTCAAATTGTTTTACACTCAAATGCATCTGCAGCTGAATTTGTGTTCTTTAACATGACAGTTAGCCTGTCTGATGCGTTAAAACTAACTTAAACCAGTATTAAGAAATACGAATTATAAAATGTTTTGGTGCCATTGAAAGTGTGTTAAATATAAAGCTTATTAGGCATAGTTCTACAATAAAAACAAAATAGAGACTGAAGTTTGTCTTGTGCTGTTCTCCTCCTACCCACCCTTAAAGTTATAGTGGTTTGTGTGGGAGAAAAATCAAGCCTTTAATTCACAATTCAGTTGAAAAGCATTCAGGTTTTTTAGTAATTTCTGTGTTGTTTTTATTTTAATGACTGCAAGGTACTTTGTTTCTTTGCAGTGAGCTTTTACTTTTTGCAGTGCTCCATTGCAACAAGTCATATTAATAATTACATAATCTGTCACCTTTTCTATGTGCCACTGAGTGTTATTAGTGAAGAAATACCAAAACTTTATGACCTTGGTTTTGGTTTTTTAGGAAAACCTGCTGGAAACTACTCAAGGAATACGTGGTGACTGAGTCTTCACAGATAGTCCACATCCCTGCTTTCTTAGACTGTTTCGCTTTAATGTGCTAATTAAATTTGGTATTAGGTAAAATAACTTATTTAAAGTTAGTAATATACAAGGAAGACTTAGAAGGTTATGCATTTGCACAGAACTTTAAGGAAGTCCACCTTCCACTACATTTTTTAAGCATTAAAATCAATATCAGGATGTCATATTTTTAAAACCTAGGAAAACTTTTTCACTGAAAGCATAAGGGTGGTTCATGACAATATCCTCGTTCCTGGAAGGGAAGGCACCTGAACACCTGAATTAAAAACCAAAAAAGTCAGATTCAGTGTGTCCAAGGTGGTAATATTTACATTGTTCTCAGAAACATGCAGCACTGTGTTCTCCCCCCACTCCTCTCCCCCCCTTCAGGGGACTTTGTTCTTGGATCTAACATGTTTGCTGAATATTGTATCAGAGCCAAACTTTTCTGCTCAATAATAAACCCAACAAAAACCTAAAGTGTGTTAGAGTGAGTAGAGAGACCCTGTAACAGTTGAGAAGGATTTTCCTGCCACCACTGTCAGTGGAATATGGGGTGAGATGGATCATTGGCTTAGGCCGAATGGGGAAGTAGGTGGAGTAGCTTCAAGCTGCACCTAGTGAGCTAACTGTGTTTGATAGGGAGCTTGCCCTCATGGATGGAATGCAGATGTAAAGAAGAATGTCAGAAGGGTTAGAGACCTGATAATGTATCCCCCTTGCTGACTCAATAGGAGCTGGGAATTCACTTGTGAGCACTGTGAGGCCCTCTAAATCACTGAGCAACTATTCAAACTGGGCTGCTCACCCCCTCAGATGTAGGTCTTCACTGAAAAAGTAATGCATTTGTCTATCGGAACATGTCCGAAGAAGGTCTGTTTGAATCCAGATGTGGAATAGAAGATGCATTAAAGATGTAACATAGTTATTTTTAAATAGTCCAAAGTAGCTCCTTAATGAAAATGAGCTATTTGAATAACACTTGAAGAAATTGAGGATAATAGTACCCTGCAACCTCTATGGGGAAATGAGTTATCAGTTCTTTAAGTGAGAAGCAGGGCTCTGCATTTGTTTACTAGAAGAAAATCAGAGTGACTAGATTTTTCTGGTTTCAAAGTCTGATGAGTAGAAAAATGATCTTCTCAAATCTCTGAAATTTATGTAAGATTTCTTCCTTGATAAGCAGATTGCCTTTCAGTGAACTGAAGGAACTTGAAAGATTCAAATCATCTCCAAGTGGTGTATGGCTTAAAGGTGATACTCATTTGTTTAGCAATTAGATGTGCCTCACTTGTATTACGTTATTCTTCACTCCTTCACTGTGCTGTGATTAAAAAACAAGTTACGTTGTTTTGAACTGACTGCTGGGTAAGCCTTGCTTCCTGGGAGTGAGTTCTCAGAATTCTCTTACTTTCCTTCCTTTTTCCCAGCCCTCCTCCCTCAGCCCCTACCAAGACAGAAGCTAGAAAGCAATGCTGAAGTTAAAATGTGTTGTCTAGGTACTGTGGGAAGCTTTTAGACTCTCTTGCCAGTTCCTGAAGGATAGTGTTTGTGTCCTGTAGCTGACTGGAAGGATTTCTTACGCTGTCTTGCTGGTGCCCATCTAGAATGCACTCTGAATACAGAACCCACCATCTTCCACTTTCGAGCAAATGGGAACAGGAACATTACTATCATGTACCTCTTGGGACATGCATTTCTTTGGAATATAGACTACGTATTTCCTTCTGTATCATGTTGGAATTTTTCATTCATTTTGGAAAACTAAAAATGGTTTTAAAGTTTTTCAAAAGAAAGTTGATTTCCTGGTGGTTGCTAGCCAGTTAGAACTCATACTTTGCATAGTGTTCTTCCTTCTAATAGTTACCTTTTAATGCAGTTCTGCAGAGCATTGCCTTATGACGTCTTCACATACATATACTTTGTCAGTTTTGTGCAAGTGGAAAACTTTCTGGAATGTATGTAACACATTCAGCAGTTTAATTATGTTGTTATAAAAGTATTTATTGTATGTAGTCCTTAATTACCAGAACTTAAATATAAAAATTTGTGATTAATAACTTCTCTGTATGCTGCTGTTTAATCCTATGTTTCCTATGGTTATGGCTGAAAATAATGCAGATTATTGGTGTGCTAATGAAGTTAACTGTGTTTCTAGCCCAGATGTCAGAGCATTTCTTCAGATGGATAACCCAAAACACCAGTCGGATCCGTCTGAAGATGAAGATGAAAGGAGCAGTCGGAAGGTAATAAAACAGAAGTAGAACAGCCTTCTAAATTTTAGCTACTTTAGGGCAATTTTAGGTATATTATTCACTGAAAATTACTGGTTGGTTTTGCAATAAATCCCCTCCATGCCCTTTTAAACAAATATGTTCCACTGTGGGCTGTAAGATACTCTTCTGTCAGATGTTAACTGCAGAGAAGGATAAAAGCAATTGCTAGCTTTGTCTTGCTTCTTTCCCACTTGCTATATGGGTTAAAGAAACACAGTTTTAGTCATAGCTTAGCTGTCACCGTTTTTGCAGTCTCTTCTTACTCAGAACATCTTGCAAGGAGCTGGGGAGACTGAATGTTTAATTGTCTTTTTTGTTTGCTTGTGTGTTGGTTTTTTTTTTAATAGGGGGAGAAATAGAATTCTCTTGAGGAGGGGAAAAATGCAGTCTTTCTAAAAGTCACTGAGGAGCAAGGATGGATTTTATTTCATTTCACATATAACACTGTGTGAGGTCTGAAGCCTCTTTTGTCACAAAGCCACTACATAGCTAGATGGATTCTCTGAAAATTAATTTACAGCCTCCAGAAACAGTGCTGTTAGAAAAAAGGAGTATTTCTAGGAAGGCAGAAGTGACATATTTAAGCTTGTTTTCTCTTTGGCTTGCTTCTTGGCATACAGATATGATCTTAGTACCTCTCTTCTTATTCAGCCCATGTTAAAGATGTAAGAGTTGGCATTTTGGTTTGTATGTGATCCACAGCAGATTTAGTGTTTTCTGAAAGTTTCACTTCCAAAGATGCCAGTCTTTGCTGCCTTTTTCTTTTTTTTTTTTTTTCTTAAAGTGCTTGACAGCACTGTGAGCATGCAGCAAAGTTCTAATTTCAAATACCAGTTTCCTCCTCTTTTTAAAGGTATTTTAAGTAATGTGGAATGATCTGAACCTTCTGTGGAAAGTTAGTGGTGTGTCATGCCACAACAGATTCCAAAAAAGGAAGAGAGCTAATGCATAGTGGCCCGGATCATACTTTTTGATAGAAAATTTACCCTCTCATAGTTACTATAAGTGATGAAGCTGAAGAATAAGGAACATAAACAAACCTTTAAGAAAAGAAAAATCTTAACTTAGTAGCTTTTATAGAACCATCCAGTACCATCATGTAATTGGCTCTTATTAATGAATAGTGGCAGCCAGCCCTGCTGTCAGGGCATTCGCTGTTTCTGTAGGAGGACGGGTTTTGTGATGCTCGCTGGCCTGTCCCCAGGTAACTTGTATTTGAATGCAGTTTATCCTTCTCTGAAAAAATCCAAAGCCACAATGAAGGTACAAATACTGTTTTTTTAAATCAAAAACAAAGTGGAGAAAATTACCTAAATGACAGTAGCTTCCTCCTCTCCCTGTAATTTACAAATTGTATCTGGGTGTGTGGTAAGAGTCATGCCATTCCTGGAATTGAGTTAGTTAACCTTTAATGTCAGAATAGAAAAGGTTGGTAATGTTTTTCTTGAGGCAGGGGGAACGTTCACTTTTGGTTTTTTAAAAGCACTGTGTCTTTCCTTAATAAACAGTGTAGGTTTAAAATTATTTTATTGGTAAGATCTTGGAAAATTTAGAATAAAAGATAGAAAATGTACTCCTAGGGCAAATACAGAAAGGGTTAAGTTCTGTATGAGGAACAAGTTGTTTGTTGAAACACTCTTAATTTTTTGTTCCTTATTTTGTCCTCTGTGTCTGGACACAATTATTTTATTACTGTCATTATTGAATATGTTGTGTGTAGAAATAATTTGTCATAAGGTGATGATGGGCAGAAATTTCAACTTGGGAAGTTCCTAATTTGGATGTTAGATCTCTTTAAAAACTTAACGTAACAATTCTGAAGGTATGGATTGAGCAAATTAGTATTTTGAAAGTAATACTAGTTGAAATATAAGATAGAATTAAAAAAAAAAAAAAAATAAACCCCCCCACCCCCTTTTGTCTCTCTCAACAGTTAAACTCTACCTCACAGAATATCAACTTGGGACCATCTGGAAATCCTCAGTAAGTTTCATTTAATCTGAATTAAAATATAATTCAATTTAATCTAAAATTTTTATGTTAATGAAATTTTATTAAAATTCATTTTGAAACCTGAGAAATTAGACTGAGTGTAATTGTTAACAGTATGAAAAGTTATTTGGATATATGCCTTTATTTGTTGTTTTGCACTGCTTGGGAGAAAGCAAAACATTGAATCTAAAAGATTCTTTCCCTTTCAACTTCAGATTTTGTTAGTCTGCTATAGCAAAGATCACCTCTCTGTTTTGGGAGTGGTTGCACAACTGTTAAGAATGTGAACAGTTTCGGAAAACAAGATTGTTTTAATGCATGGCAAAGGAGCAGCTTGCCTTGTTGATACTACAAAGCTGGTTACTGTGGTCATAACTTGCTTCTCCGGTGTCTTCTGTAGAGTTTTTCTGTTCTCAGTTCTGTGTGAATTTGTGCTTTTCTCGTGTAGGAAATGACTGCTCTTTTGGTTTTGCTTTCCTCTCAGATTTGTTCTGGTCTAACAGGAGGAAATGCTTAATAGATTACAGTAAGAAATGAAATTTAAGAGTACTTCCCTTCAGAGGCAATAAATTGAGAGGTGTATAGTGATGTAACTGTTGTTTAGGAATTTTAAAACGTGGATAATTGTTTTGCTGACAAAAATGTCTCTGCGTTGTATTTGGGGAAAAAGTGAGGGAATTCTGGGAAATAGCTGAAAGGATTGGTGATGTGGGAAGTGAAAGAACAGTGAGTTCATATGTACACACACAGAAGAGGAAGGTGTTAGGGCCTCCCTCCTCTTACTGTAATTTAAAATGAGAGAGGAAAGGATGGAGGGAATAATGGGATAAGCAAAGAAGGAATAGACTTGGTCATTCCTTCCTTCACTCATGTAAACTTGAGAATCTGTTTGGCTTTCTGGAAATGAGAAATAAGCTCCAGGAAAAGTCATGGGGAAATGGAGACTTAAATATCACAGGAATCTAGACTATGGAGTCTGCTTCTCCTTTACATCTTAAACTTACAAAAGAAAATAAACTCAGAGGATGCAACTAGAACACTTTCCCTGGAGGAAAATGGAATTGCAAAATGAAGAGGAAAGTCTGCAGCAGTCTAGGTGTTGGGTAGAATGAAGGATAAAGAAGGGTACTAACAGACTTCTTCTCACGTTACAACTCAAGTGCTATGCTAGACTGCTGCACAGCTATAAAGCTTGTAATTTCTACTCAGATGACCTGTCTCCTTCCTAAATATCTTTCAGTGCTAAACCAACAGACTTTGATTTCCTGAAAGTTATTGGGAAAGGCAGCTTTGGCAAGGTGAGCTTTCTTATTACTGCATATTATCCTGGTGCAAGGATGCTGGCTGGTGTTCTGTGCGTAGTGACTGTTGGCTTGGCTTGGCCAGAGGTTTTGGACGTGCTGTCAGTCTAGGGTGGTGTATAAACTGTCATATTGGATCCCTGTTGCTGCTTCTTCATAGCCCTGCCATTTTTAACCTGGTGTGGCAATTGGCTGCCTCGATCACTTGTTTGGAGTAACAAAAGGGAGTGTTTCCCTTTCTTGTTAAGAGCAGTAGGGATCCTCTGTTTCCCCAGAGAGGAAGGGAGGTTCCCCTATCCTTATGCAGCAACTGGAGTAAAAATCATGCATTTCTCTTTGTTGGCATGGGCTGTTTTGTCAAACCTCTAATGCTATGGAGCAGTGTGAGCAACACCCCATTGAAAAGTGACTTAAATATTGATATTCTACAAAGATGCAACAGAATATCCCTCTTGAAATCTGTGCTTTTTGGGTTACTTTTCAAGTTGTTGTTTTCTGTTAAATTATCTTTAAAACTTACAAAACCAGCTGAAATTGATCTCGATTGATTTTCAGCAGGCCCTGGAAAATAAATGTTGTAATTCAGTTTTCATATCCCTATCATGACAGATTTTATTGAACTGTAAGCTCACTCTGTTGGTGATTATATTGCTGATTGACTATATTAAAAGCAAAGAACCTTTATTGTGAAAAAATAGCACAAATACTTTCCAGTTATGCTGAAATTGTGAAAATATTGCTAATAGAATGTGAACTGCAGCAATCACATTTCTTCATTTGTTTTGATTTTCACAGGTTCTTCTTGCAAAACGAAAACTGGATGGGAAATACTATGCTGTTAAAGTGCTACAGAAAAAAATAGTTCTTAATAGGAAAGAGGTGAAGAGAAATTTTCCTTTTCCCCACTCAAGTCCCTTGCTTTTCCCCTTAATTACATAAATCATTCTTGTTTACTTACTGATCTTTTACTTCCTTACAGCAAAAACATATTATGGCTGAACGTAATGTGCTTTTGAAAAATGTGAAACACCCATTTTTGGTTGGATTACATTACTCATTCCAAACAACGGAAAAGCTTTACTTTGTCCTGGATTTTGTTAATGGAGGAGAGGTATGCAGTGACTGTGTTTGAATTTGAGTCTCTCTATTTTGCTCATTCTAGGTGGGAGGAACAAAATGATTCTTCACAATAGGCTGTGGTCACTATTCTCCCAATTTTGAAAAGTCTATTATTTGCTGTTCCTACAGACT